CCATCAGCACCGCACAGCCTGCATATAAAGGCACGTGTCAGAGACATACGGCTAGGTGTTATATGCAAGGCAGACATCAAACAAAAACAACATCAGAACGCGCACAATATACTGTATGTGCTTGAAATCATTGACAGCGCGCACCAATTAACAGATCCAGAAGAAGGACTGTTTGAAATGAAGCTTCCGGGAGAAGGGAAAAGGAAAAGAATCAGAAAATGCAGCAAAACTGGAGAGAAAAAAAAAATGACAGTGCGGAGTGTTGATTTATTGCAGAAGCCCCTGGTCATTTCCATATATTGAAATGCGCCCAAGCGACCAGTCAGTCAATTTCCTTTGAGCTGCTGCTACTGCTGCCCATGGGCTAGCCACGTGACTGATCTGGCTCCCCCCTCCTACTCTGCATTTCTGGCTTTGATCATGACAAAAACATATTAAAGATATGGACAGGCAATCAATGTCATGTGCGTTGTACTGATTGTCAGCTCCCCGTCCTCTTCCCTGTTCAACCTGAGACAGGGCTATAACTAAGAATGTCCGGCCGAGGCACTGTATATGTTTCAATAAATGGAATATTTCTCATAACCTCTTTATATCTTATTAAATAAAAATGTGACAGCTCTAGGGTAGAAATGTCTTAAAAGGCTTACCGATCCTAAACCATACACACGTTAGGTTTATTGTGATTTTTATTTTATTCTTTTAAATTTTTATATTTTAGCAGAGAATCACAGCAGTTACACACCTTGCTGGGTGGGAAAAAAATAAATCTTAAAAGCGGTATATATAACCACAGCGTATTTATGTATGCATAGAGTCTGCAAATTTGTTTCCTTTTATACGCATGTACGTACACCTTCACACACACACCACACACACACACACACACAATATATATAATTTATATAATATGTAAATATATAAACACACACACACACAATTTCTGGTAGGTAGTGTGAAACTAATGTTGTCCTGTAATTGGAGGCTGTGGTTTTTTTACATCTTGGAGATACAGGGAGAGGAATAGCTAGAGGTGAATGAAATATCATATCGCAAGCCTGCATGTAGATTTATGATTGCATAAGAGTCTTTATCATTTCCATATATTGAAATGTACTGTCCTTTCGAGTCTCCCTAGCCCTTGGAGAAGATGAGATGCTTGATTCAGCCGTGATCAATGTATGAAGTAAGGAGAAGGAAAGAGGGAGAGAGAGAGAGAGAGAAAAAAAAACAGGCTGGCACCAGATGGAACGGGGTCTAAAAAAAGGTCAAGGTTAGCTCAGTCTGCTATTGAATCGGCTGCAGTCTCACAGATAGATCTCTGCCTTTGAGGCACCCACTGGGGTTTCTCAAAATCAAATCTAATATAAAAGGCAGTCATAGAATGAAATCGCTTCATCTGAATGCTAAAATTGTTATTAGGCTACATTACAGACAAATCAGGCACGTGATTACCAAAAAAGGAAGCATGCCTTATGGTGCGTTTATGAAATCAAAGCCGGGAATGTTGCCATAATGATTTAGAAAGGTGTGTCTAGGTACGTCTCTGTATGTTTGCATGTTTGTACGTTATAAGGATCTGTTAAATGTGGAAGAAAGAATCTGGGTTTAGTTGAATTCTATTCTAACTAAAAAAAAACGTATTAAAAAATAATTTATACATATGTTAGTATATGTCTGTGGTAATGATTCAATAAATTAAACCTACCGAAAAGAACTTGCGAGGTACGTAAAAAGGTAATTTCACGCCTATACCTATCTTTTAACATTTATTTTATGGAATCGGATATGACGAGTTGAAATCCCCATACTGGTTTTTAACATTCCACTCTAAAGCCAATGTAATTGGACAATAAATAACTGGGCACTCAGGGGTGTATTCTCTAAACAACATGTTTCTAAATGATTTTCTAAATCTAATTCTTACCACCACAAATTGCTACTTAGCGATTAGACACCAGCACAGCCGCCATACTTGGCTAATTCTACTGGATGTTCATGTTATCCCAAAATGCAGACTTTGTTTAATGTATTCTCTATTTTGAACACTCCTGTGTTTATTTAAAGGGTTAATCTGCCCTACAAACCACTGGTAATCATCCCCACGCCCGAAAATTAATAATAATAATAATAATACGGGGAAGACCTTTTCTGGATTTGACAAGCTAATTTGGTTTAATTTTTGCACTGGGTGAATGCTGTCCCATTTGCACATCCATTATAAATGGAGTCATGGTAATCAGAGATTATTTTTTTTAAGAGATCAAGCATCAAAGACTGTATTTTTCAATTATCATAATGTAATGCTCATTAATGGTTCTTTAACCTAAAGCACACTCCTATCTTGAAGAAGGATTTAGTCTCTTAAAACTAATTTCTGATACAGTAGATTAAACATGATGACTGCACTCCAAGGGTTAATAAATTTAGAATTAACAGATCATCCCAGCTTGATATAGCTACTATACATGATTTAATATGCAGCCTACACAGGTTGACAGTCAGCTTGCAGATGCATTTAAGATCAGTCTCTTGATTCACTAGTTTCAGTGGGTACCCTATCTGTTAGGTAAGTGACAATACTCCTACCCCAACGGTTTACCCCAGGAGGCCTTAAGTGCACAGCATAAGTTCTCCGATTTTTGGAAAGAAGGAATAGTATTTCCAAACAGGATTATTTTCTTTATTCATCAATGCCACTTACAGATTATTACTTAATAGTTCTAAATGGATATGTTTGTTCATTTTCTATTTATTATTCAGTTAATGTATAAACCACCAGCATATTCCCTGGTGATCTACACTGGAATGTCTGATATAGTTCTCAAAAATGTGATCCTTTAGATGTAAATTCTCCCCTATAGGATTTGTTTCCTTTTTTTTTCTTCTGTTTTGTTTGTATTAACACAGTGAACAAGCAAAGCTTGTTTTTATAATTTATTCATTTTAATATTCTTCAGACCTTCATGTATGCAGCCAATAATGACAAGAGGCATTCTCAGTGTCGAGTTGAAAAATGCATTATATCAAAACCAATAAAAATTTGTAGTATTAAATATAGCCATAAATTCTTTTCAGAAATGGTACGAAATTTAACTTTTATCCACAGTGAAGACCCCATAGGAATCCCTAATCACTATCTATCTATCTATATATCTATCTATCGCTTTCAGTCTACATGTATCTATATAGTCACATACATACATATATAATATTGCTTTTTGTCACGCAGAATTACATGTTAATAAGTGTCTGTTTTTTATGAACACGTAGAAATGCATACATGATAATGCTTTTAGTACAGCAGCAAACCTTGAACGGATGAATTCTTTGGTTCTCCAACACTCAAAGGTAAAATCACTAAAACTAGTCATTTCTCAGCAATTTGCATATTTATGGTGCCTCCTGCAGTTCATTATGATTGCCTGGCCGTCAGGGAAGGCGGAAGAAAAAAAATATAAAGCCCCCTTATGCAAGTGTAAACAAATAAATAAAAACAATTCCCAGACTAAGACAATGCTTAAACCAGGGTAATTGTGAAAAAAAAAAAAAGGATTGTAGCTGGGCTGAATTAAATCTCTGTACATTTCCTCTATTGCTGCTATTAACAAGATAGCCATGTTTTGCCTGTCACAGGATATCTGGTGATTATCACTCTGAATAAAATAGCAAAAAAAGGTTCTTGCAAGAATATTAATTAGTATTAACGTAAAGATGGTAAAATAGGACAATAGGTACTGTAAATTAAGATTTTATTCCTGACCTATTCTGGTTACATATGAACAGTTTTGGAGAGGAAACAAAAAGAGAAACTGATTCAATTGAGTTTTTTTTTCTATAAAAAGACCACTTTCACCGGTATTAACTGTAAAAATATAATATATCTTATACTATTATACTAGTACAGATGCACACACAACAGTCAACAAAATACGTTTACGTAAATAACCATTTCATAGATAGATAGATGTATAGATAGACAGACAGACAGACCGACAGATTGACAGACAAACAGATATTTTATATACCAGTCTGTTTACGTTTAAGTAAATACATACACCTGTATAACGACACAAACAGATGATTATAAAAATGTTTGTGTTTTAATTGTTGCCAGTTGTGTATGCGTATATATGTATGCGCGCACATTCTTAAACATACAAACACTATTTAATTCTCTGCATGTTTTTTTCATGTGTTTTTGAGCACAATATGTAATTTATCTTCCATTTGTCCCTCGAAGACAGATGGATTTTTAATTTTAGTAAATAATGAAAGGTGTCGCCCCGAAAAGTCATATGTGAAGATTTTGTTGTGATCTTGTCATCTTTATTGAGATAAAGCCATTAACCCCTTCGCCTCCTGTACACACAAGCCTGCTCTCGGATCCTAACTATAGCTCTGTCAAGCTCAAATCTTGGAGCTGTTTGTTGACCACATGCACGTTCAGAGCCCTGAAGCTAAAAGCACTTTACACCATAAAATAAAAGCGCTGTCTTTTTTTCTAAAAGGTTACGTCTGCAGGCCACGCTGCTCATACTTCATACACAAAACTACTGAAAGGGTTATGGAATCCTGTGTGATTTACACCCTCTTAGAGCATTAGGATATAGATCTGGGCAACTCCGTACTGTAGACGATCTAATAGGCTTGAATATATGTGCTATCCTTTTCTAAAGCCCCTTCAAAAAGGCATCCTATTAAAGAGCATTCACAAGTGCCTGAAGATTGTGCACGGAACAAGGAAAAGCCTGCCTAGTTGGAAAAGTATCTGGGAGCATAGCAAAGCTACTTATATGTCAACAGACGCTTCTACCACGGGGCCACGGGACAGACTCATCAACCACACATGCGCTACACCTGTAGACGTTAACCACAAAAGCAAAAAAAGCAATAAAACTTGAGTCAAGAGAAAATATTTTAACATTGTCTTTATTTATTGCGGAGTAAAAAAAAAAAAGAAAAAAAAAGAACCATTAAACACTAGAAATGTGGTGATTGATTGATATTGGGGTTTGATATGAAGTGATGTATATTGTCCTGTTTTAGGGTGCTGTCTTAAAAGGGTGAGGGTACAGGTTTAAATAAAGAGGCAAACTATGAAATATTCAAAATGTTCGATTTTAAAAACACATTGTTCTACCTCTGCAGAGCTGTCACAGTTTAGCCAGGGCAAAGGCTGCTGGAATATCAGTGAAGATATAAAAACTCAGTTTTTACATTGAGTGCATTCCAGATATATTTGCGGAAGTCACCTCTTCAATCTACAAGACACAGTAATAAATAGATCTACTGTAACTAAGTGCTCTTGAATTTATTGTGACTTTTTTTTTTAACAAGATCAATATAACAATGCAATTTATTGATTGGAAATAACCACCAAAGGGTATTTCCATAACCTCCCTATGCATTTATAAACTTATATAATTAATTGTTTTTCATTTTAAAAGCTACTACATGTGGCCTGAGCATTATACATACGTTTCCTCATCTTGACATTTATCAATATATTTGTGTATGTTGTAAAAACAACACATCAGCATATATTATTTTGGTGAAGGCTTTCTAATGCATACTTTTAAAAATGGACGTGTTTCAACGTGTGAAAATAAACAGCGACTCCTAAAAAGGTTGCATGTTTCAAAGTAAGATATGTGATAGATTGTAAATACAGATCTAAATAAAAATACTGGACCTTGTAACTGGATCTGCAAATGTCTGAGGATTCAAATTTGTATTTCAATTAATTATAAAATTCAATCTAATTTGCATTATTGCATATCAAACTTACGCTCAGATGAAAAAAAAAAACAACTAATAAGCACCTGTATACACATGTTGGCCAGAGCGATGTGACAGCTTGCCAATTTAGGTCTAGATTGACAGCCTATTGGACAGACATAACGTGCCTACCTAACTTATTCCAAATAAAAAGACGAACCCCCATATAAAAACATTGTAACACATCTATAAATATATATTTATAAGTCCCACGTGTCTTATGCTATACTTAGACGGGATAGACTGCTAACCAATTATTCTTATGTTACGAAGAATGATGATCCATGTCTAAGGATCATGGGAACTGTAGTTTATCAACAGCAGGAGATAGCTCTGCAATACAGCTTTGGCTTTGCAATTTTTTCAGATAATCATAGCAAAAACTGTTTTGTGTCCAGTAATTGGACCATCCTTGCCCTAGGGACCTCTGTATGTACTTCAACGCCTGCTGCATATGGAAGAATATATTTTATCATAAGAAAACCTGCACCTTTTGTAATGCTGTCAGCATATTTAAAGGTTTTTGGAAATCATTGTTAATCAGGAATAGTTGAAATTAGCATGAGCACTTTACTGCTCTATATCACATGTAGGTGCAATTTAGTTGTTGATCAGATATTCTCTTGCCAAAGTGCAAAAACTATATATTTCTAGTTTCTCGAAATAAATATTGCAATGTATATATGTTTCCCTTACCCACGGGACATCAGGGAAAGCGTTGTAGACCCTCTGGTAACTGAAGGGTTAACACCCATAAAACTGTGGCCCATTGCAGGTCATTCCTAATATCGATCAATCGATGACGACATGTACGAAGAAAGTAAATGTACGCAGACATTAAAACAATCTATTATTATGTATACCAAGTCATACCTCTAAACTCCTCCTCTTGTAAATGTAAACACTCCCCTGACATCTACAAACAGAGAAAACGTAAAAATGAAATAATCAACAATCCAAAAAGATGCAACTAGGCTTTACATAGATTTAAAAAAAAAAAAGTCACACACAGTCCATTTCTCCCAGAGACAGTTTTCAACTTCCTAAATCACCAACCTAGGAGCACCAATTGTTTTAATTTATAGTGTGGTCGAGAAGTCATGAGCATCGAAAAAATTGTTGTTTTTTTTTTCAAAAGCATCCTAACAACATATTGGTATAAGTGCCTGAATGCCGAGGAGTAACAGATGTTGAAATGCAAGAATTTTCTAGCAGATACAAAAACGCTGGAGGGATTCTTGACACAATTAATTGATACACTGAAGAGCCATCTCACACTCACCCTTTGGATCTGCTGTTCCACTAATTTGGTTTCTTGCTTATCTGATTTGAAGGATTTTCTTAACCTGCCTGAGAATCTTCCAGTAGATTGTGCTGAGAAGTTTATTGTTTGAGAATAAACTTCAAATCGTAGGGGGTGCTAGTGCTGAAACTACGCCGATTCTAATAGACAGGGATTTTTGCCAACAGCAAACTGTATGTAGGAACCAGGCAGTGTCTTATTTCCAACAGCTTTTCTGCACATTCTTTAATAAGCATCTTCAAAGCCGTCTGTGCCCCCAAGACAAAGTCCTGTCAGCAGAAACAGAACTTCAGTTTATTTTACAATATTTCCTTTATCTCACAGAACTATAAAATTCACAGCCAGAGACTGGGTTTATCACAGAAGCAGGTATTATCTATCTAGACACATGTAACTCTTCGCTACCCACATTTCCTCTGTATACTCTGTTATTGACAGCTGATCAGCAGATCAGATTATATCTTTATTCTACCTATTCTTAACCAGTTAATTGCCACAACGAGCTGCTCAGGCACCGAAGGCGTTCAACAGACCTATTTTTAGCCTTTGCGTTTACGTGCATAAATATCAACTTGATTTCTCTTCTATTGATTCTCTTTTCTCTCTTTTTTTTTTTAGCATATGTGTTTCCCTCCCAGTTACCACTCGGGTAGTGGACGGACCTTGATTTGCTGCCATGGGAGAATTCTGTCTCTTAGCTACTTTTGGGACCAGGTGTACTTATTGATGTATTTTCTTGTAGTGGCTGCATACTTTTGCTCCCCACTGGTAGAGCTCCCCTGCGCCACTCGATTCTGGTTGATTCGTTTATTTCACCTCTAGACTGTAAGCTCGTTTGAGCAAGGTCCTCAACTACCTATTGTTCCGGTTACATTTTGTTATTATCTCATTTGGTAAATTCCCCTTTTATTGTAAAGCGATGCGGAATAAGCTGGCGCTATATAAATACCAATAATAATAATAATAACAATGTATCGGTGTGTTCCCACTGGTAAAGCACTCAGTGTAGTCTCTTTTCTTCCCTCTACACGTCTTCTTAACACGGCTGTCAGTTTGACCAATCATTGCTTTTTAGCTGCTATCTACTTGAACTCTGCCCTCTTTTCTTCTGGCCTTAGAGATATTGAGACTTATGCACTATGCCTCATTGTCTGCACCACATACCTATCTCTTTCTCTCCCCCTTGTCTTTATCAGTTTCTCCTCCTCTAAATTAACCCATGGGCTGCTGTGAAAGCCTGCACTTAACCCTTCGGTCACCAACAAAAAAAAACCTACTGTTTATTTTTTGTGCCCAAAAGGGTTAAATATTATTTATGTATATTTTTAAATGCTTGCACAGGTTTGCAATTGCCCGTACGTGCCCTGCCAGGCCACTTACATTTTCAGCTGGTATATAAGGGAGCAATGCCCCCAATTCAAGTGCCAACCAATACAGGTGTGCATTTAAACTCGCAAACCAGTTTGCGTTTTTTTCCCCCTACCTTCCGCAACCAATTTGACCATAATTTGTATATGATCGATTCATGCATTCATAATAACAAGGACCTAAAGATGCAAGATAATTCTAATGTATGTCTCACACCCCTCATTCATCAGATGCATCTCTACTTTTTTTTTATTTTATTTTTTTTACTCATGCAACTTCATAACCCCTCCCTCTGGTTTTCTTTTACTCATATTAATCTGTCCCTCACACATGTGCAAAACTTTTTTTCCCTCTTCTTGTCTTCCCCCAGGTATCACTTAGAACCTTTTTATTTTGTCTTGCCATTCTTGTCTGATACAACGCGTCCCCCAGTGCTGCGGCTACTCTGCCTGTGATGTGGATTTGACTTGAGTCACCTTTACCCACAGAGAGCTTCCCCTGCCCTTTGCGTGCAGCCTGTGAGCATGTTTGGCTCTTGCAATGGCCCTGCACACACAGAGAGTGGCTGTGATCTCTTTCCTCTGTGCTATCTCCACAGCAGGATCATATTGCACCTCTGCTCTGTGCAGTCTCTATTTTTTTTCTTTCACTAAGCAGCAGCTTGTGTCTAAACCCTTTCTCTTCACCCTCCCCCTTATACAGTGAGTGCCCCCTTCCCACCCCCTCTACTTCTGATCACTGGCCATTGGCTTGCCCGGGTCTGGTTTTCCTGTCCAGCCCCTTATGAATGTCCATTGGTGTTGCCTTCCCTCCTCCCCTTCTCTCCCCCTGGCCCTGCCCATGTTTTGTATGTCTCTGTCCATCCAGCTCTTGACGTTCAAGTTTACAGGAACGTCACGTCCGCACTTGAACTTGCAGCTCAGGGGGGCTTTTGCCATTTTTTTTTCATTTCTCTCCTTCTCTATCTCTCTCCTTTTTTTTTTTACCCCCTCCAAAAAAAAAAAAAAAAAAAAAGCCATGACGGCTGTCCCACAATTCATCTTCTCAGCACCATCTTTCTATTATTTCTAATTTATTTTGGATGTCAAAGGCATTTGATGAAGATATTTTCTCTGGAGTCTCCGTCTTTCTAACCCTGTTCTCCCGATGTGAACCGAGCTCTCACAAGCCACCCCACCAACCAACATGTCTCGCCGAAAGCAAGGCAAGCCCCAGCACTTAAGCAAGCGGGAATACTCACGTAAGTACCTTCCTTAAGCCATGATTTACCTGCACACGGATGTAGCTTCTCAGACATTCATTGTAAAAAAAAAAAAAAAGGAAAGAAGAAGAAGAAGAGAGAGAGGGAAAAAAAAAGCTGTCAGTGGGGGTGGAATGGTTAACACTTTCTTTGAGTCTTTCATTTCTCCGCTAGCAGAAAACAAAAATACTTTTTTTTCTTCTTCAAGAAAAGGCAGTGAAATTCCAGTAGCAAAGGAGGAAAAAAATAAATAAATAAAAATAACCTAAATGAACGGGGGGTGAGACTGGACAGTGATCATGCAGAAGGGATCCCTCTGACTCTAAATGAATGGCTATGGATGATAGAATTTAAAAAAAAAAAAAGACTTATTCAAAAGAATTCATTATTCTTTTAAATAAAACTCTTCCTTTTTTTTTTATGCAAAGTTTTTTGTTTTTTTTAAACAGCAACCTTTAGGTGCAAGGTTTAGCTAGAGATCGTTGCTCTGTGGCTTGTTAGAAGCATAGAACGCTGAAGGTCTCTGTGTGTTCCCTGTGCAGAGTCTATCTTGCTACATTTGATTCTATGTGAAGCCCAGGGAGAGTAAAAGGCACAGTATTCTGCTGTACGAGGGAGTCCGAGCTGTGGCTGCAAGAGCTCTTTCAAAGAAATCTCACCCCAAAAAACTCTTCTTTCAAAACTTCGTCCTCGATTGCAGCTGGCAGAGGAAATCCCTTCCTATCCTCTCTCCAACCCTCTCTCTCTCTCTCTCTCTCTCTCTCTCCTTCTCTCTCTCTCTCTCTCTCTCTCTGTGTTTTACTATTTTTTGGAAGATTTTCAAAAAAAAGTGGAAGTGGATTTTGATTGGGAAAAATCTCGTGTCTGAATGTTTACAAGCAGCGCGTGTGTAGAACCTCCTGCCAACAAATGAGACAGGAAAAAGCAAAATTAATCTCTCTCGAAAAAAACCAAAAATATAATAATCTAAATAATAAGACCAGAACCAGCAGATTGTCTGCCAAGGGAGACATGCTCACTGCAATTTCTAAATTATATTTAAGTTTGATAGGTGATTGTGGAGGTATTTTAATAATATGATATTGATAGGGAAATAGAATATTCTTTGCTGATTTTTATTTTTTTTAAATGCATCTTGAGACAATTGTGTGGCTTGTTGCAAATGTGGAATTACCATGTGTAAGGTCGCTGTCATTTCTTTTTGATATGCAAATAATCTACATGCATATTTTGATTGACGTACATATTTTTCTGCACATTTTTTGGAGAATGTTTTTTGTATGAAATGCATCAAAAATTGAGCTATATTCCCCACTGACATGTCTCCCTCCCCACGAGCCCAATCAATCCCTTCCAAATTTTCCAGATATTGATTAGAGCAACAGTGGAACTCATATTAAGTACAATTTTTCTTCCACTGCAATCGTTAACATCTAACAAATTTCTTCAGTATGCTTTCTTTTTCTGTTATAAATGACCATCTACACTTTGGATTTGGCTAACCTTAAAGTTACAATGTGAAATATTACCATATATGACCCTAGCATTTTCTGTTTATTCTATTGCATGCCACTAACTACACATGACAATCCTTTAAAATTTGTAACTAGATGCTGAAATTATATTTTCTCATGCCAATTCCTGTTATTTTTATTCTCATTGTTGGCTCTAATGTTTATTTCTGGTATTCTGCTGCCCTCCCCCCTTTGCACCCCCTCCTCTTCCTTGCCAAGGGAGCTCCGGGGGACTGATCGACTGCATGAGGTTTCACTTAAGACATGCTTTGTGATACCAAATCTGTCCACTAGGGAGCAGAGAGAGATCAAGAAACATACACAAACTTGAACCTGACCTGTTTAACATATATTCCTTCATTTTCATATTTTTTTTTTTTTTCATGGTGGGGGTGAATGGAAGTCCATTTTTTTTCTTTCTTCTCGTCATTTCTTTGTCTTAATCTACATTTTAGACGTGATTTTGTGTTTCTACTTCTTATTTCTAAGAAAACAAGCTGTAGTTTGGTACAGATTTCAAAGTTTCTTTGTCGTAGTAGTGATTATTTTAAATACTTTAAACAAACCGTACAGAGCAAAATGTCTAACTATTTTTACATCCTCTATCTCCCGATAGCCTCGTGTGCAAAATAAAAC